AGGACATGACAGGGAAGCATTAACTGGAATTTCTTAACTGGAAATTTCTTTTTATACTTACAACAGTAATTAATTGTGACAAAGTTACAGAGCTATTGAAGTTTGAATGTGGGAAATGGCATTGAATATTCCCATTTTCACTGCAAAAGTGATTGTTAAATGCTCCGATTTTCCTAACAAAATGAAGATCCATAAGGACACCACTGTCTGCATTTCAGCTAAAAGAACATATGAAAAACCAAAACATGAGGCCATGTAACACAGCCCTTTTTAGAGACCATGAAGTGACAGTTTAATTTGTCACTGCACTGAACGCAGCTGACCACTGAGGAAAATGGATCCTCTGTCTATAGTGGTCATGTTCTCAAATGAATCCTTTCACTCTATCACACTGTTAGTAAGATTTCTACATTCTGTGAAGAGCAAGACATTTCCATCAAAACAGATCAAATTCAGTATAATACAAGTTAAAATTTTTGCCCATGTTTGTGGTAATAAGATTCCACTCTAGAACTTAATTTCTTGATGGGACTTTTTTTTTCAGTTTCAACCCCAGATTCATTCAGTAGCCTGTATTTACTTAATTTTTTGCCACCATTATATGTCTTCCCTTAGCTCTCATTTTGCTAGGACAAAACAAGCCAAGTGGATTATGCTTTCTAACCATCACCCTATTCAATCTTCTTCTGCATCTATTCCTCTTTTGTCTCAGTGCTTCTTCCTTCATCACGGAGAATCAAAATTGTACACAGTGTCTCATGTGGAGTCTTCCTGTATTGTCTAGAAGGCCATTGACAGTACTCTGGGAAATCTCTCAGTTCAACACCACTTGATTTTCAAAGGAAATGTTGCATTTCTTTTCAACAAACTCTTTTCTTACTGAGTCTAAAGTGCTGAGCCTTTGTTGACTTTCCACTAAGTCGGGTCTGAATGTCAGAAAGACTATTATTACTATACAATAATATAGGTTACTACAATTGCAAATGGATTTATTAGATGAAGAAAAAGGGGTACAAAACTATCTACAAGATAGGACAGAAGACAAAGGAAAAAAAAAAAAGGGGATATCAAATGTTTCCTACATTTTTGGGGAGAAGTGCTGAGTATTGTACTTATTGCTACATCACATATGTTATTTTCCAGTTTATAAGTGTAGCTATCATATCTATTGTAGCTATTATTTATTTTGTATTCCATCAAAAGGGTGGGTTAAGGTTCAGTAACTGGATCTCCTTCTATGACAAGGTGACTCGCTTAGCAGATGAGGCTGTGAATATTGTCTACTTGAACTTTAGTAAAGCCTTGGTCACCATTTCCCACAGCATTCCCCTGGAGAAACTGGCTGTCCAGAGAGTGGTGTTAAAGGGAGTTACATCCTGCTGGTGACTGGTCCCAAGCAGTGTTCCACAGGGCTCAGTACTTAGGCCAATCCTGTTTAATACCTTTATCAATAATCTGGACAAAAGGATTGAGGGCACCCTCTGTCAATTTGCAGACAACACCAAACTGACTCAGTGGGAGTCTTGATCTGGGGGAGCGTAGGAAGGCTCTGCAGAAGGATCTGTACAGGCTGGATTAATTGTCCAAGGATAATGGTATGAGGTTCTAAAAGGCGAAGTGCCAGGTGCTACACTTGGGTCACAACAACCCCAGGAAGCGCTACAGGCTTGTGACAGAGGGGCTGGAAAGCTGCCTGGCAGAAAAGGACCTGGAGGTGCTGGTTGACAGCTGAACATGAGCCAGCAGTGTGCCCAGGTGGCATCCTGGCCCATGCCAGAAACAGTGTGGCAGCAGGACTAAGGCAGTGATCTTTGCCCTGTGCTCAGCACTGTTGAATCCTTGAAAATGTCTTTTTAATTAGAAAATGTGGAAAAAAAGTCTAAAACACTTAGGTTGAACTGCAAGTGCAAACATGAGGTATGCAGATACAGACAATTTGGTTATGAGTTATATGAAGTAACGCAACTGCCATCCACAATGAATGCCTTCAGTCCTTCAAGAGTTGCACAAGAAATATATACATGCACTTTCACTTCCCTTTATTGAGTTCCCTACCACTCTGCTGTCATTCTCAAAGCAAGGAGAAACATTAGTGTGACAGCACAGGACACATCCACAACGATATTCAAAGGTTTCAGAGACTTCTGCTATTTTCTAGAGATGGCAGACACACCGATTTACCTCAGGACAGAACAATCTTCAGATCCAACACTTGAAAATGCACTGAGACTGCCGTGATAACTCACATAACTGAGTTTGGGATGTAGATATTCAAAGACGCTGACATCAAGAAATGAAATCTTGGCCCCACTGGAGTTGGAGCAGATTCAGGCTTTGATGTCAGCATGACTGTGATTTTAACAGTGATTTTAGAAATGTCAGGCACGGCTCATGAGTCTAATTGACAGAAACATTTTGACGAATGTCAAATTTTAAAATACCATTTTTACCTCAAGCACTTGACTTGCTTCTGTACTGATCCTAGGTACAATTTTTTCACAGCACAGTACAGGACACCCTACACTTTTATTTTTATGCACACAGCTCGGATAGTGCAATCCTCAACTGTTGTAGTTATTTGCTTGGATGTGGAGCAACACTGAGGAGCTCCAGCGTTGTGCCTGCATAGCTATACTATTGACGATTCTGAGCTGTGTGACAGTCATTTCAAACAGTTAAGTGGGAAAACAAAAAAACACCTTTATATCATTAAGACTTCAACTCAAGTACCCAGTATTTCTGCAGTGAATATACAGCATCTTCTGGAAACCAAACTAAAATCAGCTCTTATACTACATCTACGTTTCCTTATACTGCTACTCACATAGAGGTCCTACAAAAACAACTGCAAGTCAATTATTCAGAGCAGAAAGCAATGTAAATTTTCCGTTTTCTCCATCATGTGCTTTGCTATCAAACAATGCCAACGCCAGAATATAAATGAGGTTAGAAAATATCTATATAAAATACACATATATATGTATACACATACTGTATACATTATTCCAGGTGCGTATAGCATACTGAACTGCTAAATAGCTTTCTGCATGGACTTCACAGCAACAGACACCCTGTTATGAACTACTCCCTCTCTATTTTTTTTCCATACACTCAGGCTATTGTGACATCTTCTTTCCCGGCAGTGCTTCCTTTCTCTTGAACTTTTACCCTCTCTGCTTCAGCCCTTCTATGAATGGCATTGAAACAAAAAGAGAGAAAAATGAAGAGAAGAGGAATTAACAAGATGATGACTGCTGCAGCTCCTCAGAGGTATCCGAACACAGTGACTCCCTGAGCTCATCAGCACGACAGAAGATAGCAGTGTCAGGGATAAACAGGAATGGGAAAAATTGGAAAAAAAATAAATATAAGATAGAGACAGCCTCAGTTATTTTTGAGCCCCATTTTTGTGGCAGAATATAACAACAGGGAAATTAGGGCAGCACGCAATTTAGACTGGCCTTATGTTTTTCTGCTATAGCCTCTCAAGTGGATTGTATGGTTAAAACCATACATCAGCTCCTCAAAAGCTTATGTCGTGTGTGTTTGGACAGTATCAAAAGAGTAATGTTGTGAGAAAAGTCTGTTAATGGTCAGTTATTCAATGCAGTCTTGGCAAATTACCTGGAGAGATGCTGTAGATAGATAGGCTGCTGAATGTTAAACAGCTACTGAGCCTAATCTCTTTCTTTAGTTGTACCTTCAGTAATACAGGAGTTAGTACAGATTGGAGTATTTCAAAAGTATGCCCCAAGCATGCACATATATATTACAGCACTAAAACCCAATAGTAAACCTGTTTCTTAGACACTGTTAATAGGATTTGGATAATCACAGAAAAAACCCTTGGTGCTGAAATTTATTCTTTTTATTTACAGCACATTGCCTAATGGGACTGTGTGAAGCTGAACAGAAAACAACTTCTTGACATGAATGTTCCAGCAGAAAAAAAATGGCAACGTCAGTGAGGCCTCCCTGCACGTTAATAATTGGTTTTATTTTATTCCCCCTTTGCTCATCTCAAGGAGTACTTTCAAATGAAAATCACATGCTTGTACATTTTAGCTGAAGTGAAGTGCAAAGACAGCAGGTTTTAAAATGTTCCCTGCGGGGATTGGAAGATGCCCTATCAGAAGTGCCTGGTACACACCTCACATGGGGGCCGCTCTGAGAACGCTTCTTAGTCATTTCCTTCATCACAGAATCCATCAGTGACATTTCATGCGTACTTTGCTGCTGGAAGCTGTGGTATTCTGGCCCTTGGCCAATGAGATAAAATTACATATTCCATAAAATTACTGAATATTGCATTTCTAGTCCCAGCATATGCTGCTGCCTGCTAAGGAAAGACAGACTAAGTTAGGTAAAGACAGGTTGCAGCCCAACAAGAACAGTTCATTATTAACTGGGAAGTTAGAAAGAGGGATGCCCCACAGAAGTAGGGTATCCCTTGGAGTCCAACACGCCTTTCTCCCTGTCCTCCATGGACTTCTCCTTACATGCAGTCAGGTTCATTCTTTCATGCAATAAGATGGAAGGAAAAGCTTCTGCTCTTCCCCCTTTATTCTGATTTTTGTCTTTTTTTCAGTCAGCACACAGTCCAACGAAAGGATGAGAGAAAAGCATCCACAAGTAAAATTCACTTTCAAGGGGGATTTTACAGGTGCCAGACTACTGTGCCATCAGCAGTTAGTGGTTACACACTGCAAACCTTTATTTCTCTGCTTGCTGGCTACACCATGCCAGAACTCCCTGCTGGCCCCAGAAGGCAGATGCCTGCTGCTGGTACATGACCAGAGTAAAATGTAGGTTGCGTGTCTCCTTGGGCTACTGTATGGCCATTTTGCCTAAGTGATTTTTGGCTGATGAAGTTCTGTGCCCTCTCATAAGGACTGTCCCGTGGTGGGGGGAGAGGTGGGGGGTTGATTCCTTGTTTCTACGATTTTTAAAAAGGTAAATGTTTATCTCAGTTTTGGCACTGAGAAGAAGAGCCGAGAGGGTTTTAAAGGCACTTTGCATGTAAGTACTCATGAAACAACACTGTTATTCTCACACAGCAGGCGTAAGCAGAAGAAACAGAGACATAACAACTTAGCAATGCAAAATGAGCTCCAGGCGTCTGGTAATTGTACCTTTTTTTTTGCTTTTAAAACCCCTTACAACACTGAATCGCATGGGGTCAATCTGACCTGCTCTTGATGGTGTTCGCAGCAGTAGGAAGTCTTTGTGACTCACATTTTCAATCAGAAGGACATTTTAGATTATTCAGGTATGGAAAGAAAAAAGCAAAACAACAAACTGTTTATTTGCATCCATTTTATGACCTGAAAGGGCTCCATTTTTTATGATTTGTACTGAAGTCAGTGTGTTTTAAAAGTATTTATCTAAAAGATGTGATTTCATCATACAGCCTCCAAAACAAATTTATTTAGTTCCATTATATGTGACCTATCTTCCTGACTTTCTTTTAAGATATAAAATATTATGGATATGTAGAAGCTTGTGATCCAGAGAAGCAGTGCAACATGCCAAATGTTTGAAATTCAAAGGTACTGGCAGCTCCCTGGGGCAGATATTTCAGTGTCGTGAGAGCCAGAACCCTCTGCAATGCACACAGTGGCTCTGGATGACTCAGACACAGCTTCTCAAGTGAAGTGGAGCTGGTGAAGGGTCTGGAGAACAAATCCTATGAGGAGCAGCTGAGGGAACTGAGGGCATTTAATGTGGAAAAAAGAAGGCTCAAGAGAGACCTTATCACCCTCTATGACTACCTGAAAGGAGGATATATTCAGGTGGCAGCTGGTCTCTTATCCCAAGAAATAAACGATAGGAGAAGAGGAAATAACCTCAAGCTGTCCCAGGGTGGCGGGGGATTAAATTAGACATTAAGAAAAATGTCTTCATCAGCAGGGTAGCCAAGCTCTGGAACAGGCTGCCCAAGGAAGTGGTTGAATCACCATCCCTGGAAATATTTAAAAGACACAGAGACATGATGTTTGGGGGTATGTGTTGTGGTGGAGTTAGTGTTTGGGTTAACAGTTGGACTCAGGAAACCCAAAGGTCTTTTCCCATCTAAACAATTCTATGATTCTGTGTGTTTCTGTCAACTGGTTCCTTTGTGTACCATAAGTGGTGCTTCTGTAGAAAGAGCAGAGAGAGACGAGCACTGACACAAAAACAAAGCATGCAGGCAACAAGAATGCACATCCATCCTGGCTCCCTAGGAAGTCTGCACTCTCCAGTCAATTATCTTTGAGAATTTGGTGTATGTGGTGATTTGATCAAAATCAGGGATCATCCTCAGGCTGAGTAATATGAACTCTTTTTTGACATGACTTAAGTGTGTAGGTCCCATGCAGTAAGTTAATGATTTAGGATTTAGACAAAAAGGTTTTGCTGATGAATGCAAAATAACTGCAGGTGCATGTAGAAAAATGTTGTCTGTCTATAAACCACCTTGTAGTTAATAATACAAACAATATTAAAAAATGGATGGGGAGAAAAAAATTTAGCTCACCACTAATTCTAGCCCTTTTAATTAAGTGTAATCCATAAATACTAAGAGACTGTCCATTTGGACAAGATTATATGTTCCAGTTCCTAGAACAAGCAAAAATTATTACTTTTTTGTCATGCATTAAATTTAATATTAGTTACCATGTTGGAAGGAATAATAGGAAAAACCTTTCCTTGGGTTATGAGAAGGTGAAAGCTAATATCTTCCAGTTAATCCCATTATGGTTATTATATATGACTCTAGGTTGGGTTCATTCATAGATTGCACAAATATTACTAAATAAGGCTTCAGGCAAGTACACACGAATTTTTGTAAATTGTGATCAGGCCTCAGTGTAGTGGCTGCCAGGTGATGGATTAAGGAGCTGTCAGTATTAAATTCATTTATTTCTCCTTATCATTTAAAGAGCAGGTGTCCTCTAACTATACCAGTCTGAACACACCACTCTGAAAGACACATAGCTTTTTGCAGCGAAATAAAAGAAGCAGCAGCAGATTTCATTTATCAGGAATAACATTCTGTTTCTGACCTTTCATCTCCAGCACCTAGGTAGACTCACTCTGCTGGTGCTATTGACCCTGCACATTTTATGCAGACTGGGGTGGACTGATGATAAATATACTGAAAAAGGATAGACTTGCTGTAACTTGAAATTAAGTGAGGCCTTGAAAGAAAAACCTTCAAAGGACTAAAAATGTGTGGATGCATGTGTGTATTTATTCAAAAAGGCATGTAGTGATTGACTGGACTGTGTTCTGCAGATATGCACATATACTGGTTTCAGTGGAATTGTAAGGTGTGTAAGTCAGTGCAAAATTTGTCTTACCCTTCTCCAAAGTTGAATCAGTCCTGGTTGCCTCTGTCACATAAACAGTGTAAGTTCAGATACAATTGAAATATGTGAATTAGCCTGATTGATTTATTAAAAAGTAAAACCAAAAGTGCTGAAAAAAATTTCACAGTTATTAAAAAATAAGAAGGATAACCTTTAGTTTAGTCAGATTATATTGTCCCTTTCCCCCCCCTCTCTTTTCAGTGTGCTAGAGCCAATAAAATATTTGGCCTTGAAAAAATGAAAAGGGGTGGGAAAGAGTTCCATTCTGACCTTTAACTAAGCAGCTCGTCTGACTGAATCTCTGTATGCTGAAAAAAATGAAGGCGAGCAAGCAGGAGAATTTTCTTTCAGTACACAGGGTTTCAGTGTGTCTGCATTTCCTGCCATTCTCACTTGTTTACTCAGCATATTTATAAAAAATTACTGCAGCTCCCCATTTATTATTGCAGTATTCCAATTAGAAGCTGAAAGGGTACTGAAGACTCGCTTGGAAAGGATTAGTGATCATGAAAAAACCTGAAATGTCTGTCTGCTCCATACCAGCAGGCAGCTTTTCTGCAGGTGAAGATAAAGAAGAGTAGCACAAGATCTGATGAAAGAGTTTTTTAATGCTTCTTATCTTGTTTTACTACGGTGGTAAGTGTTGTCAAGGACTGTTTTCACCAAGAAGTTGAATTACAGTCATCACGAAGAGTGAGGTCACGCTATTGTCAGCAAGACTACTGATGGCATAGTACAATGTGTGCAATGAAAAATTGAAGAACAGGATAGATCTGCATTAAAGGAAGGTTTTTCCTGTCTAGATGGGTTTTCCCCTGTCTTTTCATAAGACAACTTTTTAATTGAAAACAAACCAACTAATAAAAATCCCACGATGGATAAATGAATTCTTAAAGTAGCCCATAGGAAAAGTTGTCTAGTCATCATTTGGGAGTAAACAGAAGGTACGATTTAGGGGTTGGTATCTCAAAAAAAAAAAAAAAAAAAAAAAAAAAAAAAAAAAAAAAAAAAAAAAAAAAAAAAAAAAAAAAAAAAAAAAAAAAAAAAAATTAGGCAGCCAAATCCCTTCTCAAGGAACTCTGTGTGCTTATATTTGTGAATCCTAACCATGTGCTATAAACACCTCCCTTTTCATTTCCAAAGCACTACTGCTTTCAATAGTATTTGGCAAGAATTCAGAAATGCTGTACTTGAGCAGTGTGGCATTTAGAAGGCAGGTATAATGTAAAACCATTTCATTAAAAATAGGTCACATCAGGATCCATTAGAAAGACAATTTATCCTGAATTGAATAAGAATTGATACATATATAATCTGTTTTGTCATCACCTTTTCCAAAAAATGTCGCCCAACTAGACCTTAAAATTGTACCCCAAAAGGTTATTTGGACACTGAAGTTGCTCAGTTAAATGGGAAGTCAGCTGATGTTCATTTCTACTTCTCAGGCTGTGGACACCACAGAGAAGTCCCCATTCAAAATTTTTTGAATGGAAATATTTTCTTCTTTTTTACCTCCATGGGAATGAGCATTCGATAGGTGCACTGGGTTAAAAAGTTGCTGGATGGCAGGGCCAGAGATTGGTGGAGAATGGTGCCACATTCATTTAGTGGATGGTCACTAGTAGGACTCCCCAGGACTCAGTTTTGGGACCAGTACTGTTTCATATCTTTATTGATGATATGGATGAGGGCATTGAGTGTACCCTCAGACAGTTCACAGGCGACACTAAGTTTGGTGGGAGTGTTGATCTGCTGGAGGGTGGGAAGGCTTTGCAGAGCTGGACAGGCTGGCTGGATGGGCTGAGACCAGCAGTATGAGGTTCAACAAGTGCTGGGTCCTGCGCTTTGGTTACAAAAAACCCCTGCAGCTCCATAGGTTGGGGTAAGAGTGGCTGGAAAGTGGTCCAGTGGAAGACAACCTGGGAGTACTGGTCGACAGCTGAACATGAGCTTGCAATGTGCCCAGGCAACCAAGAAGAACAATGGAATCCTGGCCTGTGCCAGAAATAGCATCGCCAGCAGGACCAGGGAAGTGATTGTCTCTCTGTGCTTGGAACTGGAGAGGCTACATCTTGAATCCTGATAGAATCTTGTAGTCAGTTTTGGGCTTCTCTCTACAAGAGAGACATTGAGGTGCTGGAGCATGTCTAGAGAAGGGTGATGAAGCTGGTGAAGGGTCTAAAGTCATATGAGGAGCAGCTGAGGGAGCTGGAGTTCTTTAGCCTGGAGAAAAGAAGGCACCGGGGGGACCTTATCCCTTTCTATAACTACTTGAAAGGAGATTGTAGGGAGGTGGGGATCACTCTCATCTTCCAAGCAACTAGAGGATATAGCCTCAAGGTGCACCAGGGAAGGTTTATGTTGAACATCAGGAAGAGTTTCTTGGCAGAAAGGGTTGTTAAACACTGGAAGGGACTGCTCAGGAAGATGATGGAGTCACCGTTCCTGGAGGTGTTCAAGGAACTACTGGATGTGTCACTTAGTGCCATGATCTAGTTTACAAGGTGGTGATTGGTCAAATGTTGGCCTTGATGATCTTGGAGTTCTTTTCCAACCTTAATGATTCTGTGATTCTGTATCCTCACCTAACTTCATTTATGTATATAATTGAAATTCTATGTAAGTTGAAATGCTATTTGAAAAAAAAAAAAAAAGAATGGCTACAAATTTTAGAAAGTTACAGTAGACAATAAATCCACTTTCAGCTTTTTGGCATACAGATATCTTTTCTTCCTGAAAATATGAAAATTATACTTTCATAGGACAAATTACCTGATTGTTTCCTCATTTAATCATGAAATAGATGTTTCTCTCCTGAAAAAAACCCACAAAATTAATACTTGAAATGGTAACATTCAGATGTAATTATTTCTTTTTGCTTTTTTCCCCTCTCTTCTTCCTCATTATTTTGTCAAATTAATGTTCTCCATGTGAGATTTTGAAGAAGTTGATAAAAGAAATTGGTGAGATTTACCTGCTTCTATCTGACTTTTTATTGTGATCTATTGTGTATAGAACATTATGCATAAATAAGTACATATATGTTAGAAAACAAATGTTTCCCTATCAGTTTTGGGGGTTTTTTTATGTCCATGGTCAGCACTGACATTTTTCCCCTACTTCTAGAAGAAATGTTTGCTCCAAAAATATGTTAACCATCCAGTGTTTTGTTTGTACTCTATTCAGGGACTTGCAAAAATATTCAAGATATACCAAGAAAGAAGGGAATAAAATGCTTGATACTCTACGTTACTGGAATTCCTTGTGGGACTGAAACAAACCCTTAGCCATGCTTGTTTCACACGCTTTTGCAGACAACTGTTGGCAGGCCGTGTGAATCCTGGAGATTGGAACTCTTTTCTTTTCATCTGTCCTCTTTCAGTATATGTTTTTTTCTTTATTGTGTATCACCTACCTTCGCAGCACTCTGCCCTTCAGCATAGCTTGCACTACTGACAGAATGCCAACCTGCTCTCATTATTGTTCCACCTTCACACCCCTTCTTTTGGCTACCTCACAACCTGACTGCAGCATCCCCCTGTTCCCTTTGCCTCGTAGGCTCTCCCTGACCATTTTGTATTTCTGGTGTGTTTGTTTTATGATTCCCTGACCCAAGTGCTCTTTCCCAATCTTTCTATACGAAAAGTGCTTATGCATGCAAAATGCTTTCAGTTTGCCAGCTCGATGGTGTTATGCAAGTGATGAAAACAGTTATTCCATTGCTTATCAGATTAATGAATATTTAGATAAATAATGCTTTCTCCAGGCAGCCAGCTTTGGTGTGTACTGGAATGCTAACTGCAAGGTGGGGAAGGTAAAGACTTGGTACTTTGAGCAATCAGGCAGGAAGTGAGGATGGAAGTCAACCTCTTTGAGATGATGACCTTCACATCTTGCTGTTGATGGAGACCCACAAGTTATTACAGAATAAAATACCTATATCTTGGAACTGTTCACATTAATCGATATACTTCAGTTTTCCTTTGGTTTTCTAAAGATATAAATCCTACACAGTCACACTCTCCCTGTTTTTACCCACAAGCATCTGATATCTGTTTTGGCATTATTTTTTGGTCATGGATTTTCATCTTTCTCATGCTAGCAGCTATCAGTGAGTACTCAGATCAACAGTCCTGCAAAACAGGCATAGCACAGAAGTTTAAATTCATGTAATGTAACCCATTCCCAGGCACTGTGAGTGCAGAAACAAAAGAGGCTCTGCACCTGTCAGGGAAGTAACCTAGTGAAGTTTGCAGGAATCTCTGTTACCTTTAAAAGCCCCTTATATCAGCCCTGTGAGAAGTTCCTCTACCACAAGTCTCTCTCTGTTCTCCCAGTTGCAACACATTTTAGTCCAAAAGGTACCAAAGCTGAGATCTTCAAAGGATATAAAGATATTTAGGAACATAATGTCCCTGAAGGTTGATGACATTTTCCTAATCTTCTCAAGCTAGTTCTAAAAAGAGCTGTTCAACAGCTCTGTGAGTTTGGTTGTTCTTTTTTTTCTTTTCTTTTTTTTTTTTTTTTTAATTGCCTTTGCTTTTGGTTCCCTTTTGGATTATAAATCAAAAGGAGCCAATTATCTATTCATATAACAGTTTGAAGAAAACTTATTCAGCCTAAACTATATGTAAAATTTAGCCACAATTCATGATAGAATTTAAATATCATTATAAAAATTACAGGGAGCAATAGTCTATCACTAAAATTTAAAAGCATTGGCTTTGAATATAGACAATCTTCCAGGATTAGTTAATACTATTACATTTTTCTTACACTCAATCAGAAGTACCTGATCTCCTCTCTAGACACTTTTTCTAAGAAAGCAATTGACAATTTGTAATGCTTACAGAATTTAAAAAGTTAATTGCTGTCTAACTGAAGTAGCTTATTATACAAGTACTGGGACTATGTCTGTCTGCCAGTTGAATACACTAAAGTATTCCATTTAAGCAATTTAAATTAAAATATCATTTTATAAAGTTGTTTTGATTTTGATTATGTATTGAGACTTTAAATAATTTTGAATTAATTTCAAGGGAGATGGATTCCTTTTGTATAATGTCAAATTGTAATAATTTCTATGTGATTAACATTTAATTTATGTCTACACTCTTAGCATATTCTTTCCCTATAGTCACAGTTGTATTATATTTGTTTAAAAAGCTGAGTGTTCTGCGCAATGCACTGTGGAGCTGAAGTAGCAAAAAGCATGAAGAAAAAATTCTGTATCTGGAGCTCTACAAGCAATCCCTCAGGAGAATGATACTATCATATGTCATCATATGGCCCAAAAGCTCTTCGTTTTGGAAAGCTCATGTGAAATATTCCTACTGCTAGCTTTCTTGAGTGTTCAGTTAATATGCTGTAAACCAAAATACACACAGAAACCAAACCAAAACAAAAATAATAAACAACAAAACCCCCCAAACAAAACAAAATTAGCTACTTTGTCTGAGCCCCTCTCAAAAGCATAAGATTAAGATAACTGTCATGTAATTTTAAGAAAGGACAGAGATCGTAGACAGTCATGGATCTTCTCCCAGTCAAGCCAAGAAACACTCCAGGAACAGGCTCCAACAGCCAGTGTTGGATCATCTCTTGAAGATGGTCCATTAGTCATCTTAATATAAACTTCTCTTTTTGATTGTGTGATCAGCTGATGGACCTCTGTAATTCTGATCATGGAGGAGGCATAGTACTTCTGCTCAGGGCACAGACAAGGTTAAAGAGGAGCTGAGGATTCATCCTGTCCCTTAACTGTACATGGATAACATCCTTTTGTATTGAGTGTTGGTCTGAAGGTTTTTAATTATTTACTACCGTTGTTTTTTCCTGTTAGTTCTGTATTAAAATTGTAGCAGAATACTGTAACATACAGAGTTGCAAATACTTAAATTTTTAGTTCTTTCTATGTACAGGACATATCAGATAAGTTCACATAGCTTTTATTAATAAGTTTTAAATTGAGAAGGACTGAAACTGGAAACTTGCATCTGAACCTCTTTGAATATTACAGAGAATGAAGTCCTGATTTTCTTCCTTGGATTAATGTTTTCTTTGCCAGCTTTTTTGTGGGTCTGCCTCTGCTAAATCTCCTAGAACTTTATCAGATCTGCATTTACACCCTACTCCCTTCTATGTTACAAGCTCAGCTTCTTCAGATGTATCTTTTTCAAAGATATGAAAAGAACTTCCTTCAGAATATTGTATAATTTCTGTCAATGAAAAGGGAAAGAACAACTGCCTAACATTACAACAACAAGTACTCTACTTCCCTTAGTCCAGGTTGAAAAACCTCAGCTCAAAAAAGAGCAGGAATGTAGAAGAAATCTCTTTTAAGGTTAACAAGTATCTTTAAACACAAATTCTATCTCATCAACCTCAAACTTTATTTTTAGCTAAAAACGAACATCTAAAGGATTAGATTTTTAAGTCTTCTCTACCCTCAAACAAATTTTACTTTAAACAGCCTGTCTAGTGATCCTAACCACCAACTGTCAGCAAATTTTTATTGACTTTGTTATTTTATTTATAATTGCTTAAATGGCTGTGCTTTGAAAACAAAAGGTTAGTTTAACTTATTTCAGTGAGCAAATCTCACCTGAGATTTTTGAATTTGTCCAAATCAGCATGGGCTGAGAGAAGGAAAATGAAGCTAATGACCTTCACACTGAAAAAACCCAAACCAAACCAACAACAACAAGAAGGCGGCACAAAAGAGTTGTTTGCAAAGGGCCAGATCCTGAAAGACTTTAATCATCCACAGGGCTGCTAAATTGGCTGAAGATGCTGGCACTTGGTGGTCCTGAGAATTTGCATCTAACAGAAAATCTAACTGCATTTAACCGTGTGAAATCCTGTTATATTCTATGCTTCTTACAGTGAGGATTTTATTCCAATTCTGGGTCTTCTGGGTGACCTCCTTAAAACGTTGCTATTCCAGAGCAGTGCCAAAGAGGAGCTTTGGGAAATGAAGCCCTTCCTACAATCACAGAAGAGGATCAGACGGGTTACCAGTGTCACTAACATGTGTCTCGGCCCTGCCTGCTCATCCCTGTGTGACAAATTCATTCTCCTGTGACTTCCCTAACCCACTGCCAGCTAGGTTAGCCAAAGTAGCAAGAATTAATAATAGAACACACCCATCTGTCCCTTAGAAATGAGGATGAAATGCAAACGTGCCTGTCTCAGGTAGGCCAAAAAGAAGCTATCAAATTATCTTCACCTTCAGCCCCTGCAGACTGGGACCAAGAGTGGTGGAAGATCTGTTGACAAACTCCCTCACACAACCAGTGCTGCAAAAAGCTGTCAATGAGGTGAGGTCTAATAAGCACACTGTAAATAACTTCATTACGTGAAAGGACTGAGGAGTGGAGGGTGAGAAGGAGAAGAAATGAAGTGAGAAATGTGTCCCCCAGGTAAAGCTGCCCAGTGCCAGCATGCTGGGATGTACACAGTCTCTGGAAGCAGGGGGCTCAGAGAACTTGCCCTGTGGCTGGCTCATTGCCCAGGCATTCTGCGAGACACTCTGTCTGAGTGTCTCCTTAGGGTAACCTGCAGGATATGCCCCAGTGGTGAACCTGTAATTAGAGTAAGGGCTAATGACCGTGGTGGTGACCCCAAGCTGGCAGATGTGACCAGGCTGGGCAGAGGGCCTGTTCCTCCAACAGGGATCAAGGTCAACCTCCAAGGCAGTGAGGAAAAACACAGGTGCAAGAAAAAACTTTGTGTCCCTAGGTGAGATGGCCACACAGGCTAGCCCTGCCCTTCCCTCCTCCAGCTGTGCCACCTGCACCATCACTGCCCAGCTTTGCCCCTGATTCCCCAAGGCAAGGAGAAAAAAAAATATATCAAGTTTCCCAATTATCAAAACACTGTCGTAACAATGAGCTGTTGCTGCACCTGCTTCCTTAGCGCAGGCTGGATGGCCACAGCTCACCTCCTGCCACAAAGGGGAGCCTGGCCAGCGATGATTAACTCCAGCAGAACACAATAGTCAACATCTGAACCGCCTGTGTGCCAAGGAGCGTGTTTTCCTTGTTTATCTTGCACAGCAAGTTTTTAGCATCGCTTCTTTACAAAAGGCCGTGCCTACTCTGGATTCCCAGACGGTGAGTCAGCCGTGGTCCCGGGTGAACCTGTGGACCCACGTGGTGGAGAGTGAGGAAACTTCACCCTGTGGAAAGGTCAGGCATGCTTGCCACCGGAGCACGTTCGGATTTTAAAAAACAAACCTGTTTCCTACCACCGCGCTTTAGCCTCGATCAGCATGTAAACAACTCATGGAGGGCTGGCTCTCAGCACTAGTTGTGCTTCTCTTGCTCCCTGCCTATCTTTTCAGCCTGAGGTTTGCTTTTCACCAATCCTCAGCATTTTATCCTTGTTGTATAGATGCACTATTACCTTTTTTTTTTTTTTTTTTTAATCAAGTTTGAGTAATCTGTGTACATTACAGGTCTGTCATCCTTATTCTTAAGACAACCAAGCCCTCAGTCTGACGTGCAGGGTGCAGATGTGCTGTGTCCAGCAAAACCCAACAAGAAGAACAGGCCTCTGAGGTCATGAGCAGCCAGTTAGAAATTAGAACAGCCCCGAGGCAAAGGAAATTCAGAGGCAGTAGAAGGTTTCAGTTAAGCAAGAAAAAAGTCCAACATTTAGAGGTTGTACTACAAGGACGTTTCCATCCCACAGCATTTGCCATCCTAATAAGTGGCTTGTTAGAAGTGAAAAATATGCAGGTAATGATATTTTGCACTTTTGTACCTTTCCACTTTTGTAGTATATTACAGTGAAATATGCAATTCCCTTTTCATAGAATCATAGAATTAGCCAGATTGGAAAGGAACTCTGAGATCATCAAGTACAACCCTTGAGGGAAGTGGTGGTGTGGTGGGAATACATCCCATCATGGAGATATGAGGAATGCCTGGAGGAAGAGCAATGAAAAGGAGTCAGCCTCCTTGGGACATCCATGCACTGCATACTCCCACCATTCACACCATCTGACCTACCTTCTCTTAACACCTCCTCCCCCCAAACAGGACAATTTTCTTCATGGGTCTGGACCCAGTTTAAATTTCCTGGAAGTCACAGTGCCGAAGGAGAAATGTTCCTCCCTTATCATGGACTGTGAAGTAAGCATGGTTTATTGGGAGCTGTGGAGACCAAGCTAGTGTACCATTTAAGAAATTATTTGCTGATTTGCTCTCCTTGTAATTACATTATTCATTATTCTTATTTATCAAAGAACTAAATATATTTAAAGTTTTGTCTTTGAGCTGAGTGAGATTTTGTTCTGTTTCTTTCCACAGTCTCCTCTCACAGACAGGGTTAGTCTGGATCTTGGTGAAAGGTGTGAGCTTCTGATAGGTATGCCAGAGATTTTCTACACAATGCCCACAGAGTTTCTGAGACTGATTATGTTGTAGCTTGTTTTCAACTAATGTCAAAATGGAAAAAGTCAAGCCATCAGTCCACATACTGAGCCCTTCTTTGCAAAACAGAGGACCTTTATGAAGAAGCCAGCATTCAAGGTACAGTATCAAAAGTGTCCAGCAACTTGTGTAATGGGCATACAGATCATTCCAAGGTTCCCCCTATAGAAAATCATGCTGGAAATCATGATTTCCATCTCCAAAACTCATTCGTCCCAGAAGTTTTTCATTTTATAAATGAACATATGGTTTAATTTGAAGTCATGGTGTGTATCCTAGCTTGTTGAGTGGCTGTTTTAGAAGGCATTGGTAACATATGTGGGATAGTGGAGTTTTGTTTTGGTTAGAGGTTTTATGGAGAGAGTTTTTTTTACTTAACAAGTACAGCAATACAGGCTGGATGGATCAGAGCACCTCAGACATGTCATCGTTTATATTGTCATGGACTGTCACAATGATTGGTGTTGAGAAAGGATGCGATGAAATGTTTATGTGGAAAACTAATCGTTGTTTAGTGTTTTTTATTGACACTTTGCCTGGTATATGCTACAGTGTTTTTGTGGAGGGAAAGGGAGTGGGTTATTTTGCTTTTAACTGTCTAGCTCTTACAGTTGGTCTGATTCTGCTCCTGCTGAAAACTTTGGCCACGCTGGTGAGCAGGCCTGGAGCCAATATGTCTACAAATGCAATAACAGAAGCCCCAAGTCTACAATGAGCTCTGAGCAGGAGGAATTCCATCCCCATATATGAGATCTTGCTCAGCCACAAAACGTGTCAGCATTAAGCCAGATTTTGTGCAGAGCAGCTATCTAAAAGCAACACTTCTCTAATTTCAGGGTACTGCTTTAATACTGCAATGTCAGCTGCTGTTTTCCAGTCTGGGAAGCACATCGGAATTCTTGGTACTGCCTGCCTTGCTAAACAGTGGCATTAAGCTCTCACTTCACCTCTTTTCCTTAGAGAGAACAAGTTTCTACTTGGAGAAACCAGTTTGTATTCTCCACTGTGGATGCAAAGGTTAAGGGTCAGTAGACTTCTAGGCCTACACTAAACTTGAAGAAAATATAAAGGAGATATATTTTTATTTATAATAAAAAGTGTAAATGCTTTTTTTCCCCCTCATGTCAATCTGATCCAAAATTTATGTGTTCCACTTTAAAGAAAGGCAAGGCAGTGTTCTAAAACTATCTGGATTAATGACATTCATCCCAGATAGAGATCTGTCATCCCAGATCCGGTACCCCACAAAAAACCCAAACAGTTTTCCCAGTGTGGGTCCTTCACCCATCTCACCTGGCTAACCATGCCAGCAAATACACTAATTTCCTTTACAGCATTTGGCTGGAGGATAGTTCCTTGCTCTAAAGACTCTTTTTCACAGAAGGCTGTTAAGGCAATCCCTAGGGTGTGAGAAAACAGGAGATGAAACTCAGCACAAAGGAACAATAACAATTGCACACAGCTTCTGCCTTCTAAAACGGGGAGGGGAAAAAAAAAGTGCTTGACTTTCACATAACTTCCACCTCCTGGCTTTCCCTCAACCATTCCCCAGGCAGTAGAGAAGGCTGAATTTAAAATGGAGGTTAAGAGATGCCCTGGAGCATATTTAAGCTTTGTGACTCGTTCTTGCAATGATCTGTACTTTGTAATATGTAAGAGGCAGTGGGCATCCTATTGGCCTTTCTCTTCCCCCATCTCATCCTATGCTTCAGATGGGTTCTATTTTATACCTAAAAAAGAAATAAGTTTTGAAATTATACCTTAAGACAGAGAGGTCAGACAAGATTGCGAGTTAATGTTCAGGATTATGGGAAATATTACCTAAAACAATGGTTTTCTAAAACCCACTTATCAAAGGATAGATGCCTGTAACTGAGGCATTGTCAAAGATTAGACTCCAACACTGGTGCATCCAGCTGTAAGGAAGCAGTGGGACAAACACTGGGATGACAATCCAGAGAGTGAAATGGCAGTCAGGAGAAGTCATGTCACAGCCATTTCCTTCCAAGTTGGTCTGTCCAACCAGACTGAAGCCTTAGTCAAAACAGCCTTCTTTGGTAATGCAGTAGAGGACTCAACCTGGTGTACATTTCAAATGATACAGTATTTCTTCATAGCAGCTTTCTAATCTAAATGAAAGCTACCTTTTTTTTTCTAGGTATGTTTTCCTTGTCTGTCTATGTTGTCTTGGCATAGAGTAGTTCTCTAGGTCCACTAAGTTCTGATATGTGTACATTGGTATAATTTTTCATTTCTGGGGTTTAGGTTTCTGTATGTATGTGTGTAGAAATTTAGTTTCAGAGCCTACACTGAAATTCAGCATTCAAGAAACCAGAAAAATATTGTTCCAACTGCAATCTCTTCTCTGCCCCGCCTCTTCAGTGGCACCATTCAGACTGAAAACTTTTGCTTGGTGTGAGTTATTCACTCCTTGCTGTACCTTTACTTCCAGGGAGATGAACTTGTTGCAGAACTCAGCTGCACCTACCCCCAAAATAAAACTAACCTATCTGCAAATAAATAATGCACCTTTTACCATATCTATTGTATGTTTAGCCCTAGCTTAGCTGATAAAAGGGATTTACAAGGATGACACAATGGGGGAAACAGAGCTGTGCACCCAGATTTTCCTTACTGTGTCACTTTGAGGATGTGAGTACTGCTTGCAAGCGTAGTGGCATTATGTTAGCAACAAGGGACATGCTGTAGATAAGGTGGGGTTTTGCAGTTAACTTTTTAAGACATAATGTGAAAACAATAAAGAATTTTTAGATATAGAATTTTATTTAGATATCATGTTCATAATTGAATTCTGATGAACGGTTGTAATTAATCATTATCTATGGATACTTAGGAAACTGTCAGTAGTCGTAGTGGGTTCAATCATGTAGTTCAGTACCCTGTCTCCAGCAGTGGGCATGAAGAGTTATGTAGGAAACACAAGGGAGTGAGCACATATGATGCAGTGGCTAAAATTCACCCGCCAGAACTTTCTAATCAAATATCAGCATACTGAAGCTCCCAAAGGAGGAGTAATGCTATGTGTCTCCAAGTATAGGTCGCTGTGCTCACTGAATTTAATTTGGAAATTACAAAGGAAAACTCTGACTTTGGAGGTGGCTCTAATATTGGAGAGATTTGCACAACATTTTAGGAAAATTATGAGGAGCTGTAAATTATTCTGTAACATGCTCATGAGTTCATGGATAATAGTGTTCCTTGATTTGACTACCTAAGACTCAAAACTCAGAGGCAGTTACCATCTTTCTTGATGATGCTGGGGTCACAAAACACAGATTAAATTTCCCTAGTTGTCCTGAACAGAAAGTATTTGGGTGGCCATGGGAACACCTGGTGCTCAGAAACTTTTGGAAGAAGAATGCATTTATACAGGAACTCTGTTTCCTTTTTAATGAGTGAAACAGGCAGCAAAGATGGAAACTGAATATCCAGCTCATTCAGAATAACACTTAACTTGCCTATTATGTTACAGGTCTCTCACACATTTATGATTCATTTTAAGAGGTAATTTCAATGAAATTGAACGTTGTGACTGTATAATAGACAGCTGCTAAAAGATAAATGCTGAAGAGATATATTTTCAGAGGAAAAATAGGATTTTTTAATGGTGAAAGTTTGGTTTCCTTATAGGTATTACTATTATACCATCTGAGATAATATTATTTTTGCAATGTGATAAATTATTTTCTTCTATCCATAGCAAGTGAAAAGAACATACTTGTTTATTTAATTCATTATTTTTGATTAAAAACGTACATTCTCCTAGCCAAAAGATGGAGCAAGCCACTGAAGACTTAGTCTGCATTTCAGCTCTCCAGAGATTTTTAATCAACTTACTCCTTCTCCTTTTATAATTAATTAAACAACAGTAATATAGACCAACATCTTGAACTATCTGAACCAGAGGATCATATATGTTCAGTTCAGGATCTTGACAAGACTTTTGATGGCTAACACTGAATTTATATGGCGAACTTGCTGCAAAGATTGCATTAAAGGAAAAGTAAGGTTAAATACCAAGCACTGTGATTTCAGATTTCAAACACTTAAAACACCGAAACATTAAATAGGTCTGGAAAATTTAATTCAGACCCTTTATTCCCAGGCTTTGCATCATAAGTCTGTGGGTTTTTTGTGTAACAACTTGACCTCACATTGTCCTTTGCCATCTTTTCTTCTTCCCTTCTCTCCCCCTCTTTTATTTCGCTTCCCTCTTGTTTTCTCCCCTAGTCTAATTTATCATTCCATCTTTGCTTCCTTTCTTTCTTCCTCATCCTTTAGTGTTTGCTGCAGCAGGCACAAGGAGTCTCCAGGGTCTCAGTTCTCATGTCTAAGCACTATGACAGCCAAACAGTGAAATGGCAGATCCACATTAGCTTCTACTTCCCTCTCTCGTGTGTACTCAGTCAGTTTGTTGCTATATCATAAATAAATAAATAAATAAATGAGCAAACCAGCCATCAATTGAGAATTTTAAGACAATAGATGATGTTTAGTGGTTTATGTGGGCAAATCTGACAGTCAGATTCAATCAAGCCTTGGAGAACCAATGATTTTTTTTATTTTTATCTAAGGCAAGGCAAAACCAAATGGAATCACAGTCATTTTACATAAATATAGGAATCTGTATTTACAGATGCATGTGGATGTGTAAACATGCTAGCTAATAGCACACACTATTTCACAGCTGATCTGCAGGACAGGCTTCCAGAGTTACTA